AACTTTATTCGCTGGAAATCACAAAAGAAACGCAACAATCCTTCATTGAAACAGTTCAATTAAGCCCACAATCCCATCGCCAAGTCGAAGACTCAGGTAGCTTTTCGAAGAAAACATACGCCTAAAAACTATATGTTCGCGTCGCCTGAGCAAACAAACGCTGCGCTATCTAGAACACTTTTGCTTTAAAAATGGTTTGCACTAGAGTGAAAGTTCATGCACACCTGGACCACGCATGTTCCGTTACTATCCATCTTTAATCTACAATCCCACTACGACTTAAAGGCTTAAAGGATAGGTCAATGGGCAAAAGTTCGGGTATAACAGATACGCAAGGTTACGCGAGTCGCTTAGTAATACATTTACATATATATATATATAGTTGAACGCACACATGGTGGACTTTGAACGTATGAGCGCTGTGACTATGTTGACTTGCCCAGCTACCGTTCGCCTTTAGGTGGGAGTGCTAGTGATTTCTCATCGAACGGCTATCGTAGCAGAAAGGTACGCATCAATTCAGTAAGTTAGACGCCAGATTTGCTTATGTATGTTATAGATTTGGGCGGTTTTGGTGCTCACCTTGAAATTTCACTGTCTTTCTCTGTTAAGAAAAGATTCATGTTTGCAATTCACTTAAAGTCTGCAAGGGTTTCTAGAACGACGGCATTATAGATCATATTCTCAGTAATGGCTTTTTACCAATTTAACTTACTTATTGCGCCTCAGTCGCATGTCTTAATAACGTCAGATTTACGCCACTTGATCTATAGGGCGTTGCTGCCACATACTCAATCAAAGTAGGCATTAGGATCCTTCTAAAGGGCCCACTAGATTAAGGAAAGTGCTGCACTATAAAGCAGTCTCTGCATGCAGACGATACGAGAATCAGCTTTCTTAAATAACACGTCCTTGATTCCTGGTCGGATCCGCACGCTTAGTCATGCACTCGTTCGTCGTTCAGGATGATCAGAACAAATGTGCATTTGTTTTAATACAAGCTATCTAGTATCTACCGTGAGAAAAGCTGCCTGCCAATATTGAGTTCGCTTCTTATAGACACTACACAACAGCTTTCTAAAACGATACCCCACTCGTCGATTTAAGCAAGAGTAAATCTTAAAAAAAAAAAAATCATAAAATGTGTGGAATGATTAATTTCCATTTTTGTTCCGGCTTAACGAACTTCTAAACAGGACAAACGAAGGACGATTGCTAAACTCTATTGTACTCGTAGAATAAAAATAAGACTAATATTGTAGCCGAAACAGACTTCAAGCGTACTTGTTATGATTTCACTGTATTAAAGGATTTCGTAGCTGACATTACAGACCACCTTACCGGTAGTTGCACTACTGATTACAATAATTTTTGACCTGATCAGCTCTCCCGTGCTGCCAGCATCGCAGTGCCTCTGCCCGTACTTTTATTAGGATGGCCTTTCATCGCGCTGGTCGATACGATATACTCCTATGTTCGCGGCGAGCTCAGCTCCTGATTAGTGGCATCGTACGAGGCCGCTAAGCAGATTCGTCGATTTTTACTGAATTTGATTTATCATTGGTTAGCTAAACGTCCATCGTAGTACACGATATCTAGTTATGCGGTCGTTCATATTGTAAAATTTACAGAAATATCGTATAATGTTATTCGAATGCGGGAATGAACTCGTATGGCCTGAACATCAGAAGACCACACTGAGCCCCAAGAGGAGCTCAGTGTGGTCTTCTGAAGTTCTGAAAAAAAAAAAAGGAATATTTTTTAATTTCGCTCCGTTGTTTCCCAAAACACATGGAAACAAGAATGTGAAAACGCTATTTATTACCTTTCAAAATAGCCTATATAGGTCTTTTTTTTTTTATAAATGTATATATGCATAGATATACGCAGACAAGACCCAACAATAATAAGCAAAACCGTATATTGATAAACTGGGTAGAACAAAGTGTATTTTTTTACAAAATAAGAGACTACCCTTTATATTTAAGGCTATAGAGCGGAGTGTACAAGAAAGATTATTTATCGGTCTGATATCCGTGTGAAACGTAGCTGTGAAGTATGTTCCAATAAATCTCGAATCTTAAAAATAGAAATTTGGAGATTTCTACTGGAAGCAGTTTACTTATAAAAAAATTTCAAGAGATTTTATAGAAATATAATAATCGGTGGTGTGTTTTGGTGTGTGAATAATAGCCGAAACTGTATAGATGAAAAATTTTTTTTGCACTGAGATAATAAACTAAAAATTAGCCAAAAATTTCCCCCCAATCAGGTTAATAGCTTCGGAAATTATCCCACTGAAGCTGATATATCTATATATTTCCATGTTTATCTGTTTCGCATTGTACCGCCTCCATTAATTAGCACAACTTCTCCATACAAATACATCTAGATTAAGCCAGTAAATTCGAATGTTTTTTTTTTTATTTTCCGACAGTCTCGTTACTCCTCCGTACGTCTCCTTCGACCTTTCTGCCTTACAGTCAAAGCGCATTAACTTGAGAGAAAAAAATTTGACAGCACTTTTTGACCTCGATATCGATAGATAAATATTGACTTACCTAAGTCGATATTTATCCATCGAATGGCCATGGAAGTTATTTACCATTTGCCGCTTCGCCCTAATATAAGGCAATAAAAATGAATTTATGTAAAGCAACAACCAATCAATTGACGGAACAGCAGACGATTGAGCTTCAGCGTCTGGGCGCCTCATATATGTTTGAGCCAATTCGTACCTTGCGGCCAAACTGCGCGAAGTGAGTATCGCTATTTACCATATGGTAACTTCTGTGTGCGGTTTCCTAAATGAAAATATTAGGCAAGTCTGCATTTCTCTCAGTTTATTATACTACAAAACTATATTATACAAGTGATTTTTTTAAAATTTCTCCTATTCTATTTTGATGAGCACACGACCAGGCTGACTGCCCTCGACGTTTGCTAGATCAATGTCACCATGTTATTTCGCTACTGCGTCTGTGATCTCATCAATTATTCCTATCTCTTATTCCTACCACTTGCACAACAGTTGAAATATGGCTCTCTGTATGTGCCTTAGCGCAATCGTAAGCTCTACAAATCGCTAGCAAGGCGAAGGCATTGATTGTTTTGTAGGTTTAGCTGGAACAAGGTTCGTGATTTCCTAAGACCTCGCTACAATCGGTCCACGGTACTGCCTCATCATCTCGAGCGTTCCGCATTACTTCGTGAGAGATAAAAGGAGATGGCTCGCGAGTATTGGTATCCGTAGGAAAATACTATGCCGGGTTTTGATGACCGACGCGCCGAGTGGGTCAGGCGATAATAAACGATAGCTGTGCTTCCCGGGGAACGGCCACGCTCAGCACACTTTGTGGTATTAAGCATGCTCATCGGTTCGACCCTTTTATCGCACTATGTTGCTGAAACACAGCCAATCGGTACAGAAAAAGTAAAGTTGATGTTTGCAAACATATCCACCTAAGATTCAATGGTTACAATTAGATTTATACAGTTCGCGTCAGAGTAATACAATTGACGAGCCCGCTTTAAGTCCAAAACTCTGTTGTCCTCTAAGTAACTCTATAGACGTCTACTAAGTTTGTGACACACAGTATTACTCTCTGTGACCCCTTTCTGCCGGTAAGTAAGTTGCTCGATACAATCTTTGATCAGATTAACGCTTCGGAAATGATCCCACTGTAAACGCACTCTACCATGTTCCCACTGTTTGTCTGTTTCGCATTCCGGCGCCTTGATTAATCTGTATAGCTTCTCTATATAAATACATCTATAAACCGTTAGGCTCTCTCTTCATATTTTTCACGTGAATGTGGTATTTCGAATGATAATCACAGCACGGGATCGCGCAGTGCTGGCCGCCGCTACTGAAGCTCTCTTGGCCCCATTACCGCTGCCGTCATTAAAAGCCGTTTCGTGCTTGCTTGGTTAGAATTGCTGTTTCTGCAAAAGACACCTCCCCATTAGCGTGATTTGTGGTGGTAGTCAGCTACCGCCGTGGCTGTAGCCTAGCCAAGCCCCGCCTGTTCTTGCGTGCACTGTCCATATTGAAGCCTATTATCTCTATCCAAACAGTTACCGCGCGATCGTAACTGCGACTACTATTCCTTTCAGTTCTGGATGGGATATATAATGTGTATGGCTAATGGCTAGTGGAGATGAACTATATGAGTGCCGTTTGCGTATCACGCGCGCCGTGTTCCGATGCGCAAACAGTATAGCTAGAGAATAGAAAAGCTGCCACTTCACTCAAGAAGAAGATATCGTCCCCTGGCTTCTTGTTGTTCTCTCATCCGCTTTCGTTTTGGGTCTCGTCATCTTTGTCCTGATGGCATCTGTTGACGGCGTTCGCCCCGAAAAGACTTCTCTGATGACAGATGACTGTGTATTGCATCGGAACGTGATGAACGTTAACACGCATCTCCAGCTGTAACAAGCAGAAATATAATAGAACTGCGACTAATTCTTATGTTGTATATCAAGTGATTGCGACAGCATAAACACAGTACCGTACCAAGGTCTGAACAGAGTATATCACGCAGTCAAAAGCCTTTTTACTTCGTCTGTATCTTGTATGTTTTTCTCATGCGAATTCAACTGTTTGATACAAACGATGGTTAGCAGGACGTTTCTAAGCCTTGCTTCGTATAAGGTGTTCAGTTGATGTCCTTAGAATTATTATATTTCCTAATAATGAAACAAGCGGACCGTGAAATTTGTTCCTGGTTTATACCTCTAGGGTGGCTCGGGCAGCTATGTCTTTACTAATGCCTGCCTGCGTGCCTGCCTGGCCTTTTGGAGCCAGTCAGTGACCGATTTACTTCAGTTCTTATATGGCTACGCAGCTCATTAGGAGCTAAAAAGTATTATAGATTTATCATTTAGTTAGTTAACTATGCTCTATGTTAATTTGTCCACTTATGTTTTATTGTCACCAATTTTGGGCCAATCTGTACTATTTCAACGTTATTTGCAAGAATAACGAACCCGATGACCCTGGGTCGTACAAAATACCACAAACAACTAAATTCTGCCACAACAAACTACTCAGGTGAGTTTTCAATAAACCTCTATATATATATATATATATATATATAATAGTTTGTTGACAATTCTATCATCATAGGATTATTAGCATTTTACCTGACGTTTACTGTTGCATGTGCCTACGCAGTATCTGAAAAGGGCTCGTACGAGTTACTATAGTGTACACATTTCGCGGATTATAGTTTAACCAAGTTCTCAAACTATAAGCTGCTGGTAAGGGAGCAAATCCTTTCTACCTATGTAAGCACGCCTTAGTTTGTACAGGCCTTGCGGACCGGCAAGTCGACCAAATCTATTGCTGTTTTTTTTTGCTTATTTCAATATTTTACTAGTAGATCTATCAAGTAAGTCTGAGGTATATTTTTATGTGGTAAGCTCAGGGTCATCCAAAATCACAGACCAACATGTTTATAGAACTTTTCTAAAATGGCAATTCCAGTCGGGTTACGAAAGTGTCCGCGGACATTTATGTAACATCTACTATTATAGTTTTAAATCGCGCTTTCTGTTGCAACAATGGTAAAGGTCAGGGATAGCAAAAACAACTGTTGGAGAAGCTTCCCGTAAGACCCATGAAGCTGCCCTTAGAAGCTTACATGAAAGGAAGCGAGTACGACGAAGAAGTGTATTCTGTCAGAAGAAAATAAAGGTGCTGAAGTTTCTGTTCTGATCTCACTAGCCGTTTAATCAAGCTAAGATTATAGACCTGGATTCTGAAGGAGAGATCCCAGCTGTTACTAGGGGAAAGGTACTGCACTCGGGAAGACGAGCCAAACCGTCTAATGCACCGGAGTTACAAAGACGCTCTTGAGGACCTCATTGACATGGTCGCTGTAGATTGCATGACAGCAGAACTTCCGTAAGGGTCTATCCTGAGTCCAATGTATTTTGGTATATGGGGTGGTGCTAATATTAGAAAATCATTGTTTATGCCTATTACCTTGCTGTCATAGTTCAAGCCCAAACGGTAGAGGAATTCTAAAGAAGAGCAAACCGGATTTTGAAAGAAACCCTGATATAGATGAGAAACTATTGACTTTCGACCGAACAAAAATAAATCTGGTAAAAACGGTGAAATATCTGCGTATTCAGCTCGGTTGCACGCAGTGATAGGAGCGCATTACAAATAAGCGAGCCGTCACAAGAGCGGCTAGAGCCTCCATGGGAATTGCCATAATATTGCCAAACATTTATGGACCACGGTAGAGGTGCACTCTTCAAAATACCTGTTGAAACATTAACTAAACCTATCGGGGGTAAGGATAAGAAGCTACAAGAAGAAAAATAAGAAAACGCGCCACCAATCTTTGCGCTTGGGGTTCCAATCCAAGCCTATCACGGTTAGCACAAATGCGGCCTCATGCGTAGACAGCCTGCCTTACCTCTGAAAATTAAAAAAGGCGGACGCTTTATCACGATCCGATGGACGATGCAAAAACCAAAATCTCGAACATGTGGCAAGAGAAAGAATGAGAGGCAATGCCTAATTTGGGTCCGGGAGCGGCACTAAAAGACATCATCCCTAACATAGAGTTCCGGATTTCATATATATATATATATATATATATATATAAGTAAGTAAGCGCCCTATAAATCAATAGCGTGTCGTATGCCATATCTTTCAGACCCGCAATGCAAAGGGCACAGATGTATGACAAGACCTGACCAACCTTGTTAAGACAGTTGTGAACAGTTTCGTGACCCGTGATAAGTTGTGGAAGGTAGTAAATGAATTCTCCATCGGGAATTTATATATATTATATTATAATTATATAATATATTTATAATGTATTATATTATTATATAATTATAATATAATATATTTACTACCTTACACAACTTATCACAGGTCACGAAACTGTTCAAAACTGTCTTAACAAGGTTGGTCAGGCCTTGTCATACATCTGTGCCTTTTGCATTGCAGGTCTGAAAGATACGGCACACGACACGCTGTTTATTTGTAGGGTGCTTACCCACACCGGAGAATGATATATAACAGGAGAAAGGAGATTATCTTTAGGAAACGGCATGAGGGTCTTTATATTTTTCATCATTCGACCACGAAGGTGCCGAGGGACAGGTGAAATTTTAGCAAAGCCTTTGTTTTTACCTTCCTATGGAGCACAAGTGCGGCTTATAAAGCTACGACTGAACAACACGACAGAAAATGCTTTTTCAGGTTCTGAGGGTGCCCAAATCATACCCCCCGCGCAGCGACCTTATCTGGGGAGCTGAACCTGACCAATGTGACTTCGCCTCGATGAACCGGTGGCGCTAGCCACTACCTCCTAGTGGCCCCTCAACCAAACGGAGATCTGGTCGGATTTGGAGTGAACCTTGACAGAGAGACTTAATGAGTTAAAATCTCGACGGGAAGAAGTCCAACCGGTGGAGCCTCACGAATGGCCTAATAAGATGGAAACTATGTTCTAATGTTGCAGGTAGTACGTGAGCTGTATCACTCAAATTCTATACAAAAAAACGGGCTGCCTAACACGTGGTAACTTGAATCATTACATGTGCTACGGATTTAGCAGCTTCTAACCTTTGCTTACCTATTTTTAGTAGCTCGCTAACATTATGTGTGTACATCATCCGTATGCCTTAACATGAGTATACATGCATGTGTTGTCTCTATCAAAAGCATGTGCGCTGTATACTTCTACTAGCTGTATCGAAATTGAATTCTTATTTTCCGCCTAACTCCTCTCTTCTCTATAAGGGTCTGGGTTGTTTTTTCCATCAGGACCAATAAGGCCGTGTATCTGCAGTACTTTATGGAATATTATAACAAACTAAGTTCTGGCAGGCTGTAACACTACAAAAATATTCGACACGGTATGCTATCAGCGGAGTAAAATTGTACTCGATGAACCGGCTTTCGCTACCTTGAGTCCCAATGGACACAAAACAGAACTTAGGACCAAACAGCCATCCATCAGTTAGATGCATCTAGCACCGAATACGATTTGATGTATCCATATGATGAGCTTTCACGATGTCCAGTTTCCTGCAACTTGTAGTGCTCCTGATACGACGTTCTACCGGTACACTAACTGGCACCCAGCACACTCACATGCACTGCGACTTATGGTATAACCCGTCTGAACATACATGAGTAAAATTAGCCTTTTTTTTTGAGTAACTAGACTCGGCCGGGAGGTATTGAAACGTCTAGTTTTAATAAAAATCAATGGGCGATTTCGTTTGTTAAGAGCGACTTCACTCTGAAATGGTTCAAAAAAAGGTGGACATGGATGCATCAACATAGACAAATATATGCCAGCTATCTGATAAGTTGGCCAGATACAATTTTTGCATTTTGACGTAGTGCAAACCCACGAAAACAATATGTGGTTGCCGAAATTACCCAGTGTTTCTCGTTATCCATGGAGATTTTAACAGATTTCAATTACAATTTGGGCCAACCGTTAATAACGTTTGCAGAATAGAAGTGTGTTGCTGTTCGAAGCTGATATTTTTTGGTGGACAGCCTCTTTCTGATCATGTTCTAACTGACCTTGAAATCTGGGCTGGTCAGCAAAACAGTCCATGGACGGTTTGTACTTAGGTACTGTTTTCGACAAACAGAAACGGGAAATGACGGTTCCAGATATCTGGTTTAAAATCGACTCGATTAAAAGAAATCTTAACGTTTACATGTTTCAGCAGAACGAAGGTAAAAGGACAAGCTGAAGGCGAAATGAATAGCGGTTTACGTGAACCTGCATGCCGACGGCAATATAATGAAACTGTTGCAAGGCGTAAGCATTTCCATTTAAAATCCATTGTAAGCAATGAGATATATCGTGTTTTTAATCCAGGTGATTATTTGTGGTCTAATTTAATTTAATTTACTATTAGTTAGCATGGTTAGATTAGAACTCGGATTACATAACGGGAATAATTAAAACCAAGTTCATTTGGGCTTCGGTCAACAACCACTAATCAAATTATATGCTCCATATGTAGTCATAAACGTAAGTCGGGTCAAAAAAAATCTAGCTGTGTTGGGTTACAATGTTCCACTTTCTCCATCATCTTCCTGATCGTTGCATCGTCATGATACTCCACTTATATATTTCTTCAAAAGTGTCTTCTGCAGCTATATTCGGTGTTCTTTTTTGTTAGCAAATTAGAAGCGGTTTCTACGCTCCTTTGGTAAACCTATCCTTGCATAAGAACGCCAACGTCAAAATACTATGGTTTCGCAGCCTCCGCTTTATTATCACGTAGGGCTGCGTCTAGAAGTGTGCCTACCTCGTTAATGTTATTCTAGCAGTTACTTCTCGAACGAATTTGTTAGAGAAGAGCGCAATCTTGCCTTGTAGTTAATAGAGATATGTACATTGTAATTACGCTGTCCGACGTTTGTCTCCTATAGTAAGCGCGAAGTCTATAGACCCAATAGCGCAGAAAATCAGTCGTCTGTTGACTTTTAGGCTTTAACTATGCTTTTTAAATCCCTACCAAGGTGGAAGAGGTAATCCGGCTCGAGGTAAGATATGCAGTGCTACAATGAAACATGCGCGTGCTGCGCAAAAAGTTGGGGGGGGGGGGAGGCGGCATCTTCTATATTTTGCACGCTTTTCCATGCGTCGTCAAGCAGAAAATAATCAGACTATATAATGGGTCCTGATATAGCATCGATGAGCAGAACTTTGCCGCCGAGTGCCAAGTAACATTATTAAATCGTTTGGATAGAACAAGTTTTAACCAGTAGTCCAGATTAAATCAATGTTGTATTCACACAGATAATCTATTTTATTATTCTTGTCTGTGTCATCTATATTATTTGTAACCTTTCTAGGCTATCGGTATTTTACCAGATTCCGCAATTCAAATAAGACACACCTTGAAATGCCTAAAGAATAGACATGAAAAACAACTAACCGTAGTAAAAAGAAAAAAACAAAAAGTAGGTATTTTAAACCACTAACTTAGCGTCTGTGAGGAAAAGTCACGAATTGCTATGCCAAGGTTATAACGTGCGAAATTGGTTTTGGCGTACAGATACATGTACTTTGAGATAACTATAATTTCTAGATTCGTTAATGCGGTAAAAACAGCTTCTTAGTAAATACTTGAGTTAGCCTTCTTGTTGAATCGCTAAGACAGGCATAATGAACGGAAACCGGTCCCTTATGGCAATTTCTGTATATTTAACGTTTTTTTTTTTTTTTTTTTCTGTAAACCTTCAAGTTTATTCTGTTCATTATATCTATTACCTGAATTAAGCAATATTTTATCAAAAAAATTCAGTTTTTTTTTTTAGTATTAGACTATAATACACCGTTAGTAAGCGGTGGTATGGTTTATTATTTGAAATCTGCTCACTATTATTAATTAATAATATAATTAATTTTCAGCATTCCGGCCGTTATTACTATATAAGAACAAATCGTATTCGTACCAGTGGATCGTTTCTATACTATACTATACAGGATGCAACTTTTAAATACTGTGATTTTTCGTTATGTTTTTTTCTACATCTATATATAGTCAGAAACAGGTATCTTAATAATTTCTTTCTTTATATGCTTCAAATGGCTTTCCTGATGGTTGCAACCATTCAATACGACCGTAATTTCCCGCGACTACAGGGGCCTATTGGGACCTAAACTACCCACGGGCTACTTTTGAAATACTTTTCCTTAAATCTCCACGTAAATTTTTAATAGCGTCAAGCAGTATTTACAGGTAAAACTGGTCATGGAACATTTTCCGGTTTATTTGATGATAACGTTATTCGTAACTTTTCAAAAAAGTTCGCAAAAAAAATGGACGCAACTTTGACCGTCACTTTCAAGGTAAATTGTAAATTTTTAGTTTGGCTGACGCTTGATTTAGTCCGAGAAAATTAGACTGCGGCCAATGTTCGCTTGAATGGGGAAAACTACAACACTAGTTTTAGTTATAGCAAGTTTGTTAAAAGGAACGGCGTTTGATGCCAACGACAGAATATAAATGAACAGCTCGGTACTTACATTGTGATAAATACAGGCTTTGCATAAACATAAGTAAAAGCGACAAAACGACGTAAAGAAGCCTTTGATTTAATATCTGATCATGTGTCTAACGTTGTCTATGTCATCAGTGGACATCAGAATCAGTGGACTATCACGACGGCCAAACTATTCATCTACTTTCAAAAATAGCGAGGCAAAGCAACCTACGCGCCAGACTGCACTCGAAATCAAAGTATCTTGATTTCACTGTATTCTTTCCAAGGTGGTATTCTGAGAAATTGCCGGTTGTTTCCTGTTTTTTTTTTTCCATAAAAATGAACGGGAGACGAAACGAAACATTACAGAACACTTCCGTCGCATATATTAATAAAATTATCCCTTCTGCGTCAACGTTGAATGACTTAATACCGAAAAGAAACGTGTGGCCTCACATTAGCTAAACAGTAGATGTGAGCCCCAGGGTTTTCTTGGCACGCTGCCATAATCCACTAAACAGATTGAACCTATCCACGTTAAATTTCTTACTGACATAAAGTAGCTCGGCAGACTTTAGCCAACACAAACGTCACCGCTTGATCGTACGTATTACTAATCTAAAGTTGATGAAGCACATAGATACGTGAATCAATCTAATCCGTAGAAGTTATTTTTTCATAGCTTTTTTCAGGTCTAGAGGAACAAAATACCTTCTACACAAAAAAAAAAAAAGGAATTGGCAGTATGGCGTTACACAAGCAATGACGCATGAAAATGTTGTGTTACGAGGACAACTATGTCTAAGTAACAGCTAACGTATTCACGGTTGAAAATGTCCGAAGTTTGGCAGCAGGCGAAACAACTGGCCTTACGACTAACAGAAGCCGAGATCATTTGTGGGCTCCACACCCTTTAACGTGTACCAATACGTATTGCATCTTTCTTTTAGTATTAGTTAATTTATCGTTGTACCTATTACATTTTACGAACGCCATCTGGCACTTGTTGAATCTTCAGGTTATATGACATATGGATAGGAATTACAAACCTACCAAATTCCCTTTAATTTTGAACCCTCATTTTTTTGCAGACCGTTTCTGAATACACTTATTATTATATTATGCCTTCATCCGCAGTTTCGAGTACTAGAGGAAGTTGGTTGTTTTTAGGCTAACACCACAAATTCATCCCTTTCGAGATAAGAGATACGTCTTCAGAACTGAACGAAAACCAGCTATTGGAAAAACACCTCTTTACGGCCAGAGATCGACCGTTTATAGCATAGTGATTAGGCTGCGGCTTGTGTAAGGACAAAACCGAATTCTTACATACCAGAACGGAGGCACACAAGTGGCTCGCTCTAAAAATTCTAGAATGCATTAGAAAGGTGCAAAGTGTACTTTTTGCTGTCCTTGTGTTTCGACACGCATCTTAGAGGTTGAATTTAGCGTGCCGACGGAAACAATGCTTCGAATTGTGCCGTTAAATTCAAGCAGAAGCAGTAAAAGGTAATAACACCACAAGACTTGATCGGTGTCATTTACTCCTGAACATAGGTAGAAGCCAACCTAAACGTTTTACACCATCGGGCTAAGTAAGAGCGGAAACCTACACAGAAGGCCGACTTTATTAAATAATAAATCTGTGAAATGTTAGCTGCAGTAGTTGAAAATGGGTGAATATCGGTAGACTCTGCCTCACCTATTCTACCGTGTCTATCTAGGGTGCGCCGAAAGCTTGATCTGCTTCCCTGTTCTTTTCTCCATCAAACCCCTCCTCCCTCTCTCTACCTCTTCCCCTCTTTCTTTATGTATGGATATATATATACATATGTATGTGTGTCTCCGAATCCCTCGTCATTTAGGATTGTTTTGGCTGTTTCGTCCGCTGTAACCGCTGAACGAAATGCTCGTATAGGGGGACACCTACTGGGGCAGTGGACGCTGCTGGCAGTGCTGTTACAGTTGGATTAAAAAGTGACCTTTTGCGCCGTCGAGAGTCTTGGTGGGTCCGGCGAGTCTGACGATATCAACTCGCTGCCATAGAAGATGCTGGATCTGTAATGATAACCTGCCTAAGTCGACAAGAATGTGTTGCGAAGTAAATGTTGTCATTAGTAGTGATAGTAGTAGTTATAGATTTCTGTTTATCGATGCATTATAAGTACACAAAGCTCTCTGCGGAGGAAGACAAGAACTTCAGGAGCAGTTCGTATGTATAATTTGGTTCGCATGAGAAATATGGTACTTGACAAAGCACAAGACTGATTCGAGCTCTTCTCAGGTGGCTCAATTGGCTATACCGACATACATTATCGACTACTAAAACAGAAGTTATATGTACATTTCTCAGTATTAATCTTCCAAACAACTATGTGCTATATATTGCAAGGCTAGCCAACTTATAATACAGTAATAATAGAAAGATGCATCTAATTACATGAGAAGCAAGGGCAAATTAGATTAAAAAAAAAAAAAAAACGTAATTGCTCACAATACGTTTGCCTAAGTTCTGACTTATTAAGCTTCATGGATGCGTGTGATACCTTCGATAAATGAGTCTCTAAATATCAGCTGTAGTTTGGCTACGGTTCCCACATCACTCAGGTGAGTGGGTTTCGCTCTAGAAGATAGTATTCGGGGAGTGACATCAACTGATTGTTCCATGTGATACATGTTACCAACGCAAATGAAGTATTCCTATCACGACAAAGAGAACGACAGAAGCATTTACCGCAAGCTATAGCGTATAACACTGATACTGTGATCTCGTGACAAACTGCTAGCGGGGCTGCTGAAGAAAAAGCTGT